GGAGGGGAGAGAGGCAGGCCAGAGAAACGCGAGGAGCCACAACCACAGATGGCCCCTCCTCCTCCTCCTCCTCCTCCTCCTCCTCCTCCTCCTCCTCCGCCTCCTCGCGATCCGTCTAGCCCCTATGGGCCGCCAGGCATAGCAGAAAACCGAGACCCCGAAACAAACTGAATCCATAGTTTCTCTGATAAGGTTTTCCATGTAAAGGCCCATCGTCCGGATAAGTAGCCGAATCAGCTCCAGGGTGATGAGTATCGTTTCGGCCAGGCCAATCATATTGTCGATAACGATGCTAAGTTGGCCCTGGCTTTCCATCCTGCTCCACCCCCCGCCTTCTTGCAGTCTGCGGAGGGAGCGGAGAAGCGTGCAGGATTGTTTGTTGAACTGGCCAGTGCGACCCTTCCCCTCTCTCGGAATGAGATGAGGTGGCGTCGACCAGCAGCCACGAGCCATCCGAGATCCCGAGCTAAGCGGAGTTGGCACTTGTGGCGTCGGACTGAGCTCGGGGTCCAGTGTGTTCATTGTTTGATAATTACCATGTCTTCTGATCGTCCCGCTAACGGCTGTCAAGGAACGCCGTCGGCCATAGCGAAGTTGCTCGCGAATCCCATGGGGCACTCCCTCGTTGCCTGTGTCGAGAACGGCTCTTATGACTGCTTCTGGTGTTTCCTCGGGACCTCTTGAGGGTTCTGGACGCACTGAGGTTAAAGAGCAACAGTTCTTCTGTCTCAACTGTGGTGGCTGGACTCAGGGGCGGATGATTCAACTGGCTAAGAAATGTCAGGCTCCCACCCCTAAAGGCCTAAAGTTTTGGAGCGATTTTCGTCGGGGCATTGGGACAAATCCCAGGTTATGGGAAATGTTAGATAAAGCCATACCCTTGGTCAGACTTGACTCGACCCTCGCAGGCCCCAAAGATGTGCAGAGCGTGTTGTCCGTCCCCCGAGGTTCCTCCTCCAGTGAAGCCGCCACACAGCATGAGCAGAGACTGGCAGCCCTTCTCTCGAGTGAAGGCCAAAGAAGCCAATTCTCATATGGCGTAACTTTAGTAACATTGCCAGTCCTTGGTGTGATCACCGTCCGACCTTTCTCAAAACGCTGTCTTCGGTCTTATCTTACCTTATCTGATGACACTCCTCAATTTTCCAATCGCGGCGTGCTTCCTTCCTTCCGGCCTCCGCCGGGGCTGTGGCCAGGCCTCGCGGGGCCACATCCAAGGCGCGGCAACCGGGGCGCAAGAGTGCCCCAAGGGGAAGGAGGTCAGGAGCCCTCTCTGGGGCCGCGCGAAGGCGCGGGAGGAGAATACTCCTGCGAGCGTTCTCTTCTTCGGCGGTTCGACATTGGGCGGAAAGCGGGGGGGAGGCGGGGAGTCTGGCTCCGGACCTCTGCCGAATGCGACTGCTTGCCACCGTGCGTCCTGTGGGGGGGGGGGGGGGGGCTCCACATGCTCGAAACAGGTGCCAAAAGCAGCCGAGATCTACTTCAGGGGGGAGGGGGGGGGGTGCGAGGCCCGCGCCGATCGTCAAGGCAATGAATGAGAAAGCGATCACCATATCGGAGGATATCTGGGTTCGGGCCCCTGGAGGCCCCATGACCTACAGAAGACGGCCCGCGGCACGAAATGCGTGCGAAAGGTAGGGTCGATAGATCCTGAACCACGCCCCTTGAACAGATCTGGACGCCGAGAGTCAGGGTCCTCTTGGTCCTGCTCATCATGTTCCTAGCTGGGGATGCTAGACGCTCTTCATCGCTTGAAGCGACAAGTCCCTAGCTTTAGCGCCTGACTTGAAAGCTTTGAGGCAGGAGAGTTGATATGATTGCTGCCTCAGAATCTGGAAGAAGCACTCCCAGCTTACACACCAAAGCAAGGCACCAAGGCGCAAACACAGTCAATCCACACTAGAAACTGAAAAGGAAAGCGCAGACCACTGCGCAATAACAAGAACCTGCGGCGATTGAAGAGCAACCCCAAACATCAGCGAGGAAACGTCCGAAAGGTCAGACACTATATTTCGCGTAATGGCCGTTGGCGGTTGGGAGACCGAACCTTTTATGACCCTCCCCGGACCACTCCCGATTCGCACGAGGAGACCCGAGCTCAGGCTGAAGCAGCTAAACGCAGCACGGAAATTGGCAGTGCAGAGAAAATGGCCCGAACAAACATAACCAGCGAAACGAATGCAATTCGAACGTCTGCTTAAGAAGGCTGGCGCCCTGTGCACCGCGCCCTCCATGACCCTCCCCGAAACTCTCAGGACTCGCACGGGGAATCCGACGCTAAAGCTGAAGCAATCAGAGGCAGGGCACACAAAAAACCAATGCCACAAACACATGCTAAGCAACCGGTAAAAGCGATGCCCAAAGAATTACGACGCAAACGAAAGCGCTTGCTTATGCTCACGATGGTTGGCGCTTTGGGCAACGCACCGCTCACAACCTTCCCCGAATCTCTCCGGAATCGAGCGCGGGATCTTAGGCTGAAGCTGAAGTAGCCGAACGCAACTCACAAAACAAACGCAACGCACTGATACACCTGCAGTACGACACAAACTGTCATCAAGCATGACATGTCTTTCTGATCACAGCGCGTGGCGCGACCCAAGGAACCTCGAGCCCTTTTCCGAACCCAAGCTGGTCCTTGTTTCAGCGTCTTGGCTGTAGTCTGAGGAGGCCATCTTTGTTTTTCGAACGCTTGAGCTTCAGCAAAAGGCCCCCGCATGCTGGTTGCTGGAAGCTCGGCGCCCCGACGTGTGTTGCACCAGCAAAAAGTTGTAGTCCGCCGACCCTGTCGGCGTGCGGAAGACGCTGTTCTTTCTGACTCGTCATCGTCGTCGTCGTCGTCGTCGAAGTCATCGTCGCCGTCGAAATCCGCGTCGTGGTCGTGGTCGTTCTGTCCGACTCGTCGTCGTAGTCGTCTCAGTGACTCGGTCCTCCTCCTCCAGCGCGCCAGCCACAGCGAAATCGAACCGAAAGATCAAGCGCGCCAGCCAGGGCAAAACCAAGCCGAATTTGAGTAATGTCGTAGTTGGCTCAAAGGAACGCCGCTTCCCTTTGAGCCTTTCCCCCGTGGTCGGGGGAGGTTCGGCGAGGTGGAGGGGGGGAGGGAGGCTACGGTCAGAATGCCATCCCCCTGGCGGTCTTCGGGCAGAAACAAAAACTCAAATACCGGCCAAGAGTGCCCAGAGAGGCTCCCAAGACGGCCTAAGAGGGCACCGAATCGCCGAACGATTGGTCCTGGACGCCTGGGATGGCCTCCAGACGGCCCCAAAGGCCTCCGAGACGCCCCAATAGCCTCCAAGACCACTCCTGAGATAGCCCCAAGAGGCACAAATCATCGGTCTTCCTGGTGTAAGGATTCGGGCGCTCTTGCCTTTACGGCCTCTCGACACTCGTCCTCCGCTTCCTCCTCCTCCATCCTCTCCTCCCTCTTCTCCTCCTCCTCCTCCTCCTCCTCCTCCTCCTCCTCCTCCTCCTCCTCCTCCTCCTCCCCGCCACGCCCCCTGACCCGAGACTGTGGCAGAGCCATCAGCGCGTCGTCATCGTAATCGTCGTCGTCATTGTCGTCGTCATTGTCGTCGTCATCGTCATCGTCATCGTCAGCGCGTCGTCGTCGTCGTCATTGTCTTCGTCATCGTCGTCGTCTTCAGGGTCAGCGGCACCGGCCCTCAGGCCTTCACAATATACGAAATCCTGCGCCGGCGCGTCTGCGTCGCCTCGTCCGCCCCCCCGCCCCACACGGCCGACTCTCCACGCCGTGGCGACTCTCGCGCACTGGGTTCCGACACCGCTTCAGCCTGGAGAGATGGCGGCTCTCCGACAGCGCGGATCCTTCGGTGCAGGCCGGCTCCACGCTCCTGGAAGCGCTCCGCCTTGAACGCCCGCGCGACGGTCGCCGCCGCGTCGGCACGACGCGAAGCCGTCGTAAACGGAAGCTTTCGGAGGACCGCACGGGTTTCCTGGTAAGGAACCGAACTTTATACACCGATGCTTTTTTTCCGGTCCCGCACTGAGATTCGCACAAGAAAACGGCTTATGGTGTATACGGCATCCTGGTGTATACATTTTTCGTTGTTTACACGGGAAAACTGGGAAACTAGTATACACCACACCACCCCGACGTCGTCCCTGACCCTCAAAACTTCCCAGGATTGAACAGCAGCCCGCCACTGGTAATGTATATGCTCCAGTTTCCGACTTGGGTCGGCGCTGAGCCCCCCTGTCGGCGCCGACGGCGCCTCGTGCACCAGTGGGGGGGGCCCAAGCGCCTGTCGTGGACCCGGCAGGGGCCCCGGTAGAGGCCCCAAATCAGCCAAGAACCCTGCGCCGCGTCTGGTCTGAACGACGCGAGGAAATCAGGGGAGACAGAGGAAGGATGGGGGACAGAGGTGTGGGGGCACGTGCGCGTAGGGGGGGACTGGTCCCTTCGGGGGAAAAAACATCGCCCTGGCGTCAGCGGCGCCTCGCCAGTGCATCGGCGAAGGGTCCGTGAGAGCGAGGCCACACGCTCCCGGGCGGGGTGGGCCATCGGCACCCTATCCTCAACACATGGGCGACGGGAGGGTCGATGCGTCCCGCCCTGAGCCTATCCCCCCTGCTGCTGCCACTCCCAAAGACCTCTCCTGGGGCAGTTTCTGGCCAGAAGCTCGAGGAGAATCCCGCCGTGGCGACGAAGGCTCTCCTCTGAGCTTTGCCCCCCAAAGACCATAGGATACCGCATTTGTCGGTCGAGATCGGTAGCGACCGATCAGCATTTGAAAGCGGTCGCAACCGATCGCGACCGATTCCCAAACGGGTCTCGACCGGTAGCGACCGAGCGGCCGCGACCGCTCATGAAGCAACTCGGTCGCGACTGGGACTGGCATCTGAGGCAGAATCGGTAGCCACCAGCCTCGTCGGTCGCGACTGCAGGATACTCCAGCATTGCAAGATCAGGGCCCGCAACGTTTGGCCTCGAAGAAAGGGCTCTCTCTCTGCCCGCTGCCCGCCCCTGCCGCCCTGGCCTGCGCCCTCGCCGGGCTATGCGGCGACAGCGTGGTGGTGGTCATGCCCTCGCCTGGAGGTGCCGCCGCCGTCGTCCCGCAACGTCGCGTCGTCGACGTCGTCGCGCGTCGTCAGCGTTGTCAGCCTCGTCGTCGTTGGCGTCGCCGCCGCCGCCGCCGTCGTCGTCGTTGTCGTCGTCGTCGTCGTCGTCGTCGTGGTCGTCGTCGTGGTTTTGCCGTAGTCGCCGATAATCGTCAACGTCGTTCGTCTTTTGGCCGTCGGCCCTTTCGCCTCGCCACGCGATCGGTTCGCGCGCCCTTGTTTTAGCCTCCGGGCATTGGGCTCGGGGTCGTTGGCACGAAGGAGGAGCGGGCAGAGCCAGAGGAACGACGGAGGGCCGAGAAGCGAACTGGGGCATCCCCTGACAATGTTTCTCTAATGTTCTAGCATACTGTCTGAATCGTTCTCATGTGGTGCAATCTATGTGTTGCGCAATATACGTGGTTATCTCCGCCTGGTGGAAGCTACGTGGTACTAGTTGGTGCATCCCAGGCGGTGCAGTATATGTGGTGCAGCCCATGTGGTGCAATCTACGTGGTGTGAGTTACGTGATGTAAGCCATGTAGTCCAGGCTATGTGGAGCAATGTATGTGGTGGAAGCTACGTGGTGCAAGCTAGGTGAAGCCGTGCACGCAGGGCACCCAATAGTTATTAACTAGGCAAACTATGTGGCGCAATCTCTGTGGTGCAACCCAGACATGTTTTTTTCAATACGGGGCCCCTGGAAGTCCCGACCCTTTCCCTGGGACCGGTTCTTCACTTTGACGGTCCCCAGGCCTGGCGAGGGCTCCCATAGAGGCTGAAAACTGCGAAAGACCTCCGCCTTGATTTTTCCAGTGCGTGGGATTTCTGGGAGGAACACCGACGCAAAAAAGTCGCGAGGAGGCGATGGCCAGCGACTCCATCGCCCGCCACCGTGCCGCATAGGCACCGAGGGGAACAGCGAGGGGCCCGCGGCCCCCGAGTGGAGCACAAGGGGTGCTCCCAGGCGCGCCTCGCGCGCTCCCGGGGAATCCCTGGGGGCGACTTCTGCAGGAGGCCCCACGACCCAAAGATCCCACGCATTGAAAAAAGCAAGACGGCGGTTTTCCCAGTGTTCGGCCTCTATGGGGGCCCTCGCCCGCGGGACCGTCAAGAAACGGCTCAGGATGAAAAACCGGTCCCGCGGAATGGGTCGAGACTTCCAGGGACCGCGTTTTGAAGAAATCAAGACACGTGGAGTGTGGCGGCGGCGAGCGAGGGAAGCGACGCGAAGCGAAGCGGAGCGAACGCCAGAGTCGTGCGCGTGCCCACTGGGGCATGGCGTGGAGGCCGTGGCCTGAAACATGTGATACGTAAGCGGACTCACGTGACAACCACCAGTCGGTGTTCCCGGCCGCTGATAACCATCGCAGGTCCTTTGTGCTGTTACGTTGGTGTTGTCGTGGCTGGGTCGCCGCTAGATCTGCTCCTGCCCGGCGGCGAGCGAGGGAGGAAGGTGAGAAATGAGAAGGCCTCTTCTTTTCAGAAGGCGGCAGGAATTCTCGGAAGCCCTCGCGCCTTCTGAGAAGATGTCTGTGTCTCCAGGGAACGTGGACGAAACTTCGAAGGCAGGAGGACTTTCGAGCCATGTGGGAAGGCCCGCTCGCTTCCCCCCCGGGCTCGCCGCTGGGTGTGGTTTGGACTCCACACCTCCAACCTAGCCTAAGGTGGTCCCAGGGCCCGTCCTGGAGCCCTCTTGGAGTCCCATTCGGCTGTCTTTGAAGCCTGGGGGCCGCCCTTAGAGGCAAGCACCACCCAAAAACCCTGCTTGTTGTAAGAAGTTCGCTACTCAACTTTTCGGCCTGACAACCGCAGAGGACAGCCCAAGAGGCCCCCAATATCACCCAAGACTGGCCCCGAGGGATGGCCCTAAAGCGCACCAATATGCCATCAAGATGGCCCAGGGAGGCCCCCGAGACGGCCTCCGAATGACAATATTCCCTTCAAAGGCACCCAAGAGGCCCCGTAAGGCCCCCAAAAGGCCCCTCAGAGGCTCCTTGAGGCCCTCAGGAAGCCGCCAGTTGGCCCCAAGAGGGCTCCAAGACCTACTACGCCTCCTCCTCCTCCTTCTCCTCCTCATCCTTGGCCAGGCATTTGCCCAACGCTTGGCCAAATAGGCAATTTCCAGAATGCAGGGGCGGCGGTGCCTTACAGTAATGAGTAATGAGGCGTCTTCGATTCAAGTCAAGTCTGTTGGCTGAAGGCCCGATGCCATTATGATGGCGGCACTCGCGAGAGCGGCAACGAGACGGACGTGGTCAGGACGGCAGGGGAGGCGCTTCTGAAGTTGTCACTCGCGTGCCTGGGCCGCAAAGCCGCGGCCACCTCTCGAACGTGTGCGTCGGAGTGCCGAGCCTCCCGGCGGTGCGCAAGTGGCCGAGCGCGGTTGGGGGAGCGCGGTTGGCGCAGACTCGCTCCGCACCGCCCGCTGCGAAGATCGGAGGAGGGCTGGCTGAGACAGCGGCGGGTCTCTCGCCAGGCCCAGATCGGATCACCATCGGCCACCGGACCCCACAGCCTGACCGTTGCCCGAGGCCGCTCTGAGGCCGTGGCGACAAGGAGGCTCTGGGAGAGCACCACGAGGGCGAGAACAAGGCGGGGGGGGGGGGGGCCGCCGCCGTCGCGATGCCCGGAAAAAGCGAAGGTTTGGCATGAAGGGAACGGGACCTGAGGGCAACGGGCTCTGGGCTCCGGGGGCCTCCCCTCAGGACCATATTTAAGTCGGGCATGTCCTGCTACACGCGGATTTTGAAAGAAAACGAAACAATCAAACTAAAAACCGACAACAGTCAAAAAGAGCATGGACATCGTTACCGCATTACTTTTGGACTATTTTTGAGTACTCCTCCTAGAGGGACATGCCCGACTGAAGACTAGATCTTTGTCCTGAGTCATTTTTGCTGACGGTCTCGTGGCTCGTGGGGGGCCCCGAGTCCGAAAATTGTGAAAGACCTCAGGACCCCGGACCCAGGGACTCGAGATCTGATGTCTGAAGTTGTTCGATACGCGGTCCAGGGAAGTTTCGGCCTTTTTACCCGTATCGGTTTTTCATCCCGAGTCCTTCATTGACGGTCCACAGGCCTGGGATAAGGGCCTCCACCGGCCCAAAGCAAGCCAAAACCTCCTGCCCTGTTCTTGTTTCAGGGCGCGGGCGTGTCTGGGTCTCCTTCCTAGCGGGCGGAGGGGGCGGAGGAGCTAGAGGCCTCCTAGATTGGGGCGGAATAGGTGGGGTCGGAGGATCGCGCCGCATCGCCGATACATCGGCGACTCATCGGCGATGCATCGGCGATGCACCGGCGACGCCTGAAGCAAATCGGGCTCCACATCGAGCCGCATCGGCGACGCATCGGCGATGCATCGGCGATGTGACACGATCCTCCGACCCCATCTGCTCCGACCCCATCTTGGAGGCCTAGAGGGCGCAGGGTGAGGGAGCCGTAGAGGAACAACAAGAACACATAAGCATCAACTTTTGGAGGTCCGCGCAGATTCCTCGGATCCGCGCCTGACCTCCCTCCCCCGCGCGCGGAGCGCGCCAGGGGCGGCGCCCGAGGCGCTATCAAGAGATCCGCGCGGAGCGCCAAACATTAATGCTGATGCCGACATCCCTTCTTCGAGCGAGGGAGCGGATCTTCCTCGTTGTTTCCTCTTCGTTCTCTCTTCCGCCGACCCCATCTGCTCCGACCCCACCTTGGAGGCATACAGGAGCGGAGGGCGAGGGAGCCGCAGAGGAACAACAAACCGCATTGACAGAAACCCTGGGAAGTCTGCGCGGATTTCTCGGATCCGCGCTGGACCCCACCTCCCAAGCGCGCGGAGCGCGCCAGGGGCGGCGCCAGAGGCGCCGCTAGGGGGGGCCCCGCGCGGATCCACGAGATTCACGCGGAGCGCCAAAAGTGTCCGTTTACGCCGGTTGTTCTTCTCCGAGCGAGGGAGAGCGGATCTTCCTCGTTGCTCCCTCTTTCTTCTTTCATCCTCCTGCCCCGTGTGTTCCGACCCCATCTTGAAAGCCTGTGTTTTTTCACAATGTCGACCCACAAGGTCTGGACCCCTTCCACGGGACCCGGTGTTCATCCCGAGTCCTTTTTGTAGACGGATCCCAGGCCCGGGAAGGGCCCCCAGAGCCCGAAAGTAGCGAAAAACCTACCGTCGTGAATTTCTGTTCGCAACTCGAGGGGGTCTCGAATCTGGTTATACAGTCCTGCATGCAGTTGATATTGATCTACTTACTTGACTGACTTTCGAACTAGTAAAGCTTTAGTCGTGATGGAAGCTATAGGGGAGCGGAGGGCGAAGGAGCCGGGCGGAGCACCCCAGGCTGCGGCAGCCTGCCGGACCATGGCCCCCCCGCTCGCCTCCCGGGCAGCCCACCCGTAGGCCAGCTCTCTTCGCCAGCTGCACGCCCACAGGGAGGCCCAGCGAGGCAGAGGCCGTCGACGTCGTCGTCGTCGCCGTCGACGCCATCGTCGTCGTCGTCGTCGCCGTCGTCGTCGTCGTCGTCGCCGTCGTTGCCGTCCTCGTCGTCGTCGTCGTCGATGACGTCGTCGTCGTCGTCGTCGTCGTCGTCGTCGTCGTCGTCGTCGTCCAACGGCAGCCGCGCCCGTGCCGTGGCCTGTCGCTCCGCGGGCGGTGCGCGCCACGGTGGGGACGCCTCCTGGGGAGCCCTGGTGGCTCGAGCTCAGGGGCGCCAGGTTGAGGAGCGGCACCTATCAGGAGAAATCTGCGGCGAGCGGGTGGGGGGGCAATGAGAAGCCCTGAGGCCCGGGCGTTTTCGTATGATTTCGGGCTCTGGGACCCTCACGTATCGATCCGGCTTGACAAATGACGCAGAAATATGGGTGGGGTCTAGGGCTCCCGGCGTGATTTATTGCGATGTCGCATTGTTCTTCCGACGTCGGATCTCGGGGAGGGGCGGGCCTTCTCAGAAGGCTCGGAAGTCCCCCGGCCTTCTGAGAAAATCTGTGCATAAGCCTTCCCCGAGGACGCAGACAGCCTCTCAGAAGGCCGGAGCGTTTCTGAGAAGCCCCACCGCCGTCTGAGAAGGCCTTCTCCTTCTCATCTCCCCCCTCGCCCGCCGCCGAGGAAAAGAACCCGGTCTTACGGAAGGGTAGAGGCCTCCCAACTTAGGTCCGCGTAGATGAAGTAAGAGGGTCGCGCCGCATCACCGATTAATCGACGCCGTCGGCGAGGAGAAAGTCGGGCTTCACATCGAGCCGCATCGCCGATGCATCGCCGATCCAATCTACTCGGACCCAATCTGGGAGACCTAAACTTAGATCGGGCATGTCCCCCTACAGGCGGATTTTGGACGAACAAAATACAAAATGGTCAAACAGATTCAACAATGATCCAAACATAAGCGAAAATCGTTACCATATGACTTTTTAACTATTTGTGAATATTCCTCCTGTCAAGGGACAGGCCCGACTTGAGTCTAGACAGATGACACAATGGCCTTGCACGGTGGCTCACGCGGGCCGCCAGCGAGACCCAACGCGTGGACGCGAGGGCACTCACGCGCGACCCTACGCGGGCAGCTTGCGCGCGAACGTCTTTACGGTCGAACCCTGTTCTCGACGTCGCTCACCTGCAGGCTCCGCAGAGATCCACCGTATTCAACAACCAAGACGGCAAGTTTGGCAGTTTTCGGCCTCGAAGAGGGTCTTGCAGGAGCGACGTCGCATCAGGACAATCCCTAGCTGTTTCGTGTGATCTGCTTGGTGATTTGGTAGCGTTTGTGATGTAGATCGTTTTCAACACCCGCTACACTGATGACATGTCATTGCGTGTTCTCCAGCGTTGGTCCCAAACAAGAAAAGATCGCCCTGTGTATGCGAGAGCTATGTGGTGCAAGCTATGCTGCGAAAACTATGTGATGCAGAATGCGTGGTGCATGCTCGAGGCGGCGATGAAGCGGCAACGTGGCGAAACCTCGCCGAACCTATCCAGCGCACAGGCGGCAACGAGGCGGCAGCTGGCGGCAACGTGGCGAAACCTCCCCTGACCCACCCAGCGAACGAGGCGGCAATGAAGCGGCAACGGCCTGCAACGTGGCGGCACCTCGCCTGACCCACCCAGCCCCCGAGGCGACAACGAGGCGGCAACGAGGCGGCACCGTGGCGAAACATCGTCGGATCTAGCGCACGAGGCGGCAACGAGGCGGCAGCATGGCGAAACATCGCCTGATCCAACCAGCTCCTTAGAGAGCCAAGCAAAGAACCCTGGGTGAAAATACTGTTTGGCAACGTCGTCAATCTGAGTCGCTTTGTAAATCAGCAGAAACAAATCTGAATGTGCAGCTCCATGACCATGA